TATTCCACCTACACAAACAAGATCCTGTGCTCCAATCCACCTTTCACAGGTCAAGACACCATTCTGTTTGCATCAATTTGCTCATGAAAACTGGATTCCAGTCCTGGCATTTCCTGCCTTTTACAGAAGCTGTGCAAGAAGATAAGGATGTTCTGAGTCAGCACACAGCACAGTGGCTGGCAGCAGCACATACAAGATGAGGGGAGTGTTTGTCTTTGGGAATACATTATACTGTAGTGTAAGTGCATTCATTATCAAATTTAAGGCTTTCCTTTGTGAAAGACATCATTGTCAAGTCTCACGTGCTTTTGGGCTGCATCTCTGTCAGACTGTACTGCTGCATTAATGCCAAGTCATAGCCAATTAGCATTTTAAAAACACCTTCATTTTACACACAACCTTTTTGACCGTGGCAAGCTCAACATAACCTCTCCAGCAGAAGGGGTTGTAAAGCAGCATGAACTTCAAAACATCCCCACAGACTTACCCTGAGCTCTGCCCTGCCAAAGTGCCTCCTCTGCAGGGTAAAAGTGAAAGATCAATTACAGACAATTACAGCTATGCCAGCCAGAGGCATAATTTCAGATGTGTCAGGGACAAGCACACTGGTTGCCTGTACTGGTTCCAGCAGACTGATTAGCTCTAAGCCTGGCTGGCCTGGGAGCCAGAAAGTGTGGCAAGGTAGGGCAATTCACACTAACTAACTACGGAAAGAAAAAAGCTACCACAGATGTGCTGATTAATGCAAGTTTTGAAGTAGTTTTGAGTAGCTGAAAGAATCAAATCAGAGACATTGAGCCTGCCTCCATATGGGAGGCTGAAAAGACTTGGTTCCAGAACACACTGAGGGGCAAAAACAGCACTCACCAAACAAACCCTGTGTATGCATTTGCAGAATGAGCTGTGAGGAAGCCCAGGACAGACTCCAGATCAAACACCAACTATTGTAAGAAAAACAATATTGAGATCTAACAATGCGTCAGGTTGAAGGACTTGGTGATAACCTCACATGCAATTAACTCTGAGCATTTTAAGGAATTAATGCTCCTCAGTTTTGTCAGCAGTGGCTTGTGCTAGCTGGCACTTCAAATTGGCATGAGTTTTGTGGTCACCAGCTCCTAAATCTCAGTTGACAGACAGGGTTGCTTGGTTCTGTAGAGGTGACTGTGTTCAAATCCAACTGCACCAACACATAGTTTAAGTCATCTATGAATCACTTCAAAAATGTCCCACTAAAGGTACAACACACACCTCACTTTCAGCTACTGCAAAATGGTACAAGATAAAATAATTCACTGGGTTAATGAATTTTTCATTTTTAATCACAACTGTGCAGGCACTGGTATGTATCAATAATAGAAAAATTCAAAGGTTAAAAACAGTGTACAGTTTAGCACAGCAGGCAACATTTGAATAGAAGCACATAATTTTAATTTGCTTTGAAGTTTAAAGCAATCCAAACCAAAAGTTAACTATATAAATACAGAGTAAATGCACATAGTTTACAGCCAACTACATGTATGCAAGAATAATAGCAAACCTCACATGAGTACTGAAGTATTCTCAATCTGTCACCTGTGAGTGTTTAGCTATGACTCCTCGGGCATAGTTATGTTCACATATGCAGGGTAGGCAGACTCTTAAATAGAGGAACTGAAAAAACTTACATAACTCAGTCTTAACAGACAGAAAGTTGAAAAAAAGTAGTACATTTACCTAGGCACACTTCAGCATTCAGCTTGTTTTCCAAATCTGAACAGTTTAAACAGGAAGCAACATTTATAAAGGCTCTCCACTCTTGTCTCTGGAAGCATTCTTTTACAACGCTGCAGTTTGAGGAATGTTGCAGATGTCGTACAAAAAAAAACCAGACTAGCAGAAACTGTCATTAACAAACAAACAATCCGCTGTCATTAACACCTCAATCAGCAAGGGAAGATGCGGAGTGCGTTATGTAAACAGAGATGGGGGCAGAGATGGGTAAGTGGACAGGAGACAACCACAACACCAAAAACCTCCACAGCTCCCTGCTGTGAGCCCGCTGCCAAGCACGTAGGGCAGAGAGCGGGGCAGACAGCGCGGATCTCCAGGGCCCCGCTCCCGGCCCCGCTCCGGGCCCCGCTCGGGGCCGTGACTGGGGCCGTGACTCCCGCGGGGGCAGCGCCGCCTGCCGGCCGCGCCGCGGAGCCGCAGCCCCGCCCGCACCAACCTCGGCTCCGGCCGCAGGCAGGAGCTCGTTCCTCATTTCCCTGACTCCGAGTTCTTCACACGTCCTCTCGTCTAGCACACACAAGTGGGACATAAACACGTGACACCCAAATGCAAATCGAGATGACCAAGTTTAAATGCGCTGCTTTCAGCTCTGTAGTTAAAGATATTATTGAATGAAGCATCTAGTTATTTCCCTTGAGTTTTTATAATAAATATCAAGAAAACTACATAAATAATTTAATGATCTTTGGGAAATATATCAGAGGTAATTTTGCAGGTACTTTTAGTTTAAAAACAATGAAAAATCCCAATAAATGTTGGGGTTATGTTTGGTTATGCAAAAGAAGCCAAAACGATCACCCCTGAAGTTTAAAACAAAGCTGGAACACCCTTTAAAGCGGTGGAGTAATAAGCTGATTGTCTGCTTTTAGCTGTTATCTCCCATATTCAAGTGTCCTTGTTAAATTGTCCTACTTATCACCTCCAGGGGCTCTGCTCTTACCCAGAGAAGGCACACGCAGTACCCAGGGAATACCCAGGAATGGGAGACAAACACAGAACCAAGGGACAATGTGTCCAAACAGAGGAGAGAAACTCAATAAGCCTAGGCTACTCCAAGTATTCATTGTATTCATGAACTTAAAGCTGAGTATGGTCTTGCCAATTTAAGTTTTGGCTATGACTGAGTAATCTAGATAACCTGAAGAGTGACCCACCTTCTACATCACAAAAATTACACTAAGCCACTATTCCTGCATTTATTTATTTATCTGAACAAAAGCATCACATCAAGGCTTAGGTCAGTCATAAATACTCCAGTCTTTTCCTAGGGAGACCACTAGAAAAAGCCCACTTTAAAACACATTTAAGCACTCCTTTCACTTCTTTGAGACAATCAAGCTCACCATGGTCACCCCTCGGACCATGCTGTCTTTAAAAAGGGAACATTTTCCAAGCAGGGAGGTCAATACACACTGCAAGGTCAATGTACTTACTATGGGTGGCTTTTAGAGGGTGAGCAATTAATACAGAGAATTACATGAAATACTCAAATACTTGGACACTGTATGGAAAACATGACAAAATTCAAAATAAAGGAAAGCAAACGAGAAAAACCTAGACTGATTGTTCTGCAAGCTTTGAGGTTTTACAGAGAGCCTACAGAACCAGTGCAACAGAGATGCTATGGATTTACAGCATAAACTCCTGCACAGCTTACACAGAAATCAAACCACATGCTTTGTTTAAAACCAAACTGCATATTTCAAACACGGTTTGATTCCAGATAATCAGTAAGAGGAAGAAAAGTCATAAGCCCTAAGAAGGCCACAAAGTGCATAAGAAGTCATTCATAAAATAAAGCCATTGCACATGATGCACAGTTCAAGTGTACTGAAGTACCACACTGGAAGAGCTGAGAGCACAGTTCTGTCCATGCCAGTGTAGCAGCATTTATATGGAAAAAGCTATTGACCCCAACTTATAAAAATCATCATCTTCCTCATAAGGATAATGGATGCAGACTGAGAAGGTATCTGTCTGGAAAGGTGTAAAACTTCCTGTAACATTAAACTGCTTGACACTCCAGTTGTATGATTTTGGAAAATTCTGTAAATTATGACAGAATAAACCAGCAAAGCCTCACTGCTGAAGGCATTATTTTGCAATTGGCTTACAGAACAAAAGCAATGCCTGAATAATCAGACAATGTGGAGGACAAGGTTATAGCTCAGTACACAGGCTCAAGCTGACAGAAGTGATACAGCATTTATCGGGGGAATGCTTTCAAGAAAATATTATTTACAATTTCTCCATCCTTCTGCACAGAGCCTGTCTCCACTGACAAGATCTATCACAACTTCAACTAATTTCTGCTTTCTGGTCACCTAGCCACAGTGATAGGTGTTCTCTCCCAGTACTCCCATATAAACACTGGTAATCCAAGGCAGGATTTGCCAGATATTTAAGGGTAATACAGCTTGTGCTTAGGCAGCATGAAACTGAGTGAATCCTGTCTTCACAAATGGGAGGGGTGGACTAGTTGAGACCTCATCACATTATAGCCTTTTTAAGGATTTGTAATGTGGCATTCAGCAACTTCCTTAGCTGTGTGAGAGACCTGAACATACTGGCAAGGAAAACTGATGATACAGGACAATGTTTCATAGGCCTCTCTTAGGAAAAGTTCCAGAAAAGAAAAAGCATGATGCAGCAGGACCAGAAGTCCACATAGACCAACATTAACAGACCAACAACCTGAAGAGTTGAACAATCAGACCCTCTCTCATTAACCTACAACACTGCTCAAACATCAAGGAAAAAAATGAACAATCAAAACCAAAAAGCTACAACAGGAATCACCTTTTGTAGTGACAAAATAACTGTTCTGGGTCCCTGCACCATATTTTGTCTTGAGGTAGCAACACAGAAATCTTCACACACTTACCACACTACCTCAGTCTCTTTATGAATCTTCAGAGCAACTAAATGGAAGTTTCAGGTATAGAAAGCTATAAAAGTACTGTCTTGCCCATTCCCCCAAACAGGTTACTGTGCAGTAAAACAGAACAAAAATGATGTAGTTGAGAGCAATCACTAAGAGAAGGTAATAGGACTGCCCAGCAACATACTTCACGTCCCCTCCCTCACCCATCAGGTCTCTGAAGATGACTCAATGGCTTTGTCTAGTTTAACAATGAAAAGAAAAGAATAATTCTGAATTAAGAGATGTATGAAGGCATTCCCTAAGGGGAAATTCCCATTCGTCACATTGACATGAGACCACACAATAAAGGCAGCAAAATTATTCAGAGTTGCCCACAATCAACTTCTGTTTTGTCCACAGCTGCTTGCTCCTGATAGAAGGCTCCTTTAGCCCACCACATTGGCATTGACATTCAGTGGTCCACTCCAGTCTTTCCATCTTCCACCTTCTTCCACCTTGTCACACTGCTATCCATCAAGTAAGTAGACTACAACTTCATAGGTGGACATCATGATAGCCGTGTTTGGAATCTGTCTGATCAGGTGTGTAGTTAAACCTCGGTAAAGGGAGCCATACCCTTCCTCTCGCACAAGCAAAGAGAGTGTCTGGAAGAAAGATCTGTATTTTGTTCCCTCTTCTCTTAGTCTTGTTCGTACAACCTCTGTACAAAGAAAACAGTGGAAAAAAAAAATTGAGTGGTTACATTCACCACTTTTCATTATTTTTCCCAGCAACTGATCAGGGATTTTTACACAAAAATACCCCTCCCCAAGTTCTCAATCTCACAACTCCTCTTTTGAAAAAAGGAAGAGGAAGACAGAGTAGCAAACCAAGTATGTGTAAGAAGAGAGCAAATATTAGATATTTGACTAAACAAGGCAAGTTCATTTGCTTAGCTACAGTCCAGAAGAGGACTGTTGCTTGGGGTTACATTTTAGCTCAGAAGTTCAGTACTCAGTTCATGAACAAACAATGTATACACAGCTACTTGGCAGGAAAATCAAGTGCAACTGACACACAAACTAGGCAGCCTGCATCCCTAGAAGGGAGACAAGAACTTGCTGGCACATTATGGAAAACTGCTGGGTATATGGAAAGATTCCAACTGAAAAAGTACCTCGGGCCATACCTTGACCAATCCCTTGGCAAAACATTGTCTAAGAAAAGGTCATGCTGGATATCCACTGTAAAGCACATCCATTTCTGAATACTATACTCATGTTGGCCTGCTAAATCTGATATTCAGACAGGGAAATCTTTCTTGAGCAAGTAAATCAAAGTTGGCTACAAATCTCACTGAGAAGACTCCATTTGATGGATCTGACTCAGGGTCTCAGTGCACATGTCCCACTTACCATGGGGATATGCTATTGATGTTGCACATGTTTTGGAAGTGGCAGCAGCCATCATCATTCCAACAAAGTCCGATGCTTCTTTTGCTGATTCATCCTCATTGTCCATGGCAGCAGCAGTCTTATGCTCCAGTAATTTTTTCTTAATACTCTCATAAATGACAAAGTGAATAACAGTCTCAGATATGCCTGCGTAGGACGCAGACATTCCCCGGTAAAAACCTCTAAAGCCATCCAAGCGATAAACTTTGCGGGCACACTCAAATGCACTCATTCGCTTTTCTCCACGATTCCTACAAAGGAGAACACAAGTCTGAGTATCAACTGGTGCAGCCAGCAAGGCTGAAAAATTAATTGAACAGGTTTGTAGTGACAAGAAGACTTAGGAAATACCCAACACTGATGCTGAGGGGCTCCAAGTCACTTGACCATCCCAAAGGCCTTCAGCACTAAACACAAGTAAAGCATTACACGGAATCCAAGCCAAACTTCACACAGCGACTAAAGACAAAGTATCACAGTGACATGTTGAGCAGCTTTAGGCCTCCCCAGCTCTCATACAATAAAGGACTAAGCTGCTTGGAAACGGACTCCCAAATGGACTACCAATGTCAGCAACTCACGAGAAAAATGACCACTTCCTTTTGCATAATGGATATGCCCTAATTGCTGCCTCAGTAAAGAGCTCCACAGCATTCAGTGGCTGAGAGTTGAAAGAGCAGCCCTCAGCATTACAGCTCTCAGCAAACAACTGGCACAGCAACACTGGGAGCTGTTGTTTGATTGAACTAAGCCACTGCTGATGTCAAGGAAAAAGCTCATTAGACATACATGTTTAAAGCAGTATTTAGGAAATGAAGTTTTATTCCCAGTTTGAGCTTGCTCACCAAATTGAGTTGTGCATACTGTAGTTGGAATACTGTACAAAACTATGCAAACCCATGACAACACTGCATGAGATGTGCTTCACTACAGCTGCAAGTGCAGGCACATGGATTGTGCCAGCAGAGGTCTGACTGAGCAAGTCACAGAATAAAAATAAATACCTGAGGAAGTTGAAAGTCTTCTTCTAAACATTTGCTAAAATATTGAATCCATATTTCAGGAATGTTTAGCTCAACAGTTAAAGAAAACTTATTACTGAATGAAAATGTAAGCATATGGGTGGTAGAACATGATTTTAATGAAACTGTTAACCTTGTAATTCATTCGAAATTTGCTGGTCAGTCTACTACAGTGCCTCAAGCATGTCTCAGAAGGGATTAAAAAGAGATGTGATAGTATAACTTGTAAAGACCAGCATCAACTTTGAATTCTTAAACATTCAGCATTTCAGATTTGCATTCTATTTTGGAGTGCAGAACAGATTCAGTACATTTCAGTACAATGTTATCACAGCAGTGAGGTTTCCTCTTGTCACTTTACCTTGCATCAAGCTGTAATCGTGTCTTTACCAACCAAATGGGATTAGTTGTTGTGATCGCAGTAAAGCCTAAAAAATGCAAAAATAACATAATTAGATGTAATAATATCACAAGAACAGATGCACCTAAGTACCAAATGCACACAGTTAAGGTACAGTGGATGCAAAAACTCGGACTATACTGATTTTTCTGAAGTCCCCATTTTGTGAATCCATACAGCCAATAAACACTTAGATTGTTTTTAAATTTTACATTACTATTGAGTAAGTTCGATTCTTAGCAAGAGATGCCCCATATCAAATAAGCCAAATTAAGTACAGTTCTCTGCCTATCTAATACAACCCTGTTTTGACACCACAGAACAGCAATGCCAACTAGACAAATATCAGCCAATTGGGCAAAAAAGTCAATAAGAATGCATTGCAGAGACAGCAATAGCAATTTGAGATGCTATAAAACATTGCCTCAATTTACTTTGTTACCTGAAATACAATCCGAGTTTAAAAGCATGCAGACTGAATAAATACTACTTTTGGTGCAGTTAAAAGGCATTTATTACTGCAAATTAGGAGACCTTTTAATACTGAACTATAAAGAGCAGTTATATTTGAGTGCTAATCTTTTATTTAGTATTCAAAGCAGAGATTGTTGGCCAGCCTTGGAATACTTTTAGAAGCATATGAGTGTTTAAATTGTTAAAAGTAAATACTATGACTTCTAACTATTCAGACAGACAGCAACTACTCAGGCTTGCATAAGGGCCAAGGGTTAAAGCTTTGATTTTCAGTCCACTAAAGAAAACAGAAGAAAAAGAAAAAAGGAAACAAAAAAAAGAAAAAAAAAACAGGAAAAAAGAAAAAAAAGAAGTAAGAATTACTCTTACTTCTGCACAACCGTGGAGAGAGAGAGAGAAAGCAGAGTGAAAGGCAGCTCTGAAAAAAAGTAAAATTTAAAAAAATCATCTCAAGCTGTAATATCACACATGCACCATCAATGAGGTGTCATGTCTGCAGGAGAGAATAGGAAAAGGGAAAAGCTGGAACATGGCCAGGCAAGAGATGATAAATTTAGACACTTGCTCTCTAAGTGACACACATGGCTGGTTTCTAACTACAAAGACACACTGCCCTGGGTGTGTGGGGAAGGACAGAGTTCCCTTGCTCAGTGCATGGCTGGGGCACAGTACTTACCCAGCACCAGGCTATTGATAAGCTCATTTATCACATACTAACAGCTCACAGAACTAGATTTAGCAGACTGGTTGCATACATGCTACTCCTGTTCAATCACAATCTAGGTTTACATTGCACACAAAGGTCTGCAATACTCAGAAATGCCAGGGGATCTTAACTGTTCTAAGATTTGATCTGTGCCCACCCTCAGAGCTTAAACAGGTCATTATGGTTTTCAATTCAGGTTCTAAAAACAAATTATCAGATTTGGCAGCTGCTAAGATTGAGCTGGTTTTCTACACCAGAAGAATAAAAACAGATTGGAGACTTCTATCCAATTTTCTGATTAACCAGATTTTTAAACTGACTCAAACTGCTTAACTAAGCAACTTCCTATGGTAGATAATAAAGATTTGGAGTTGGCTTTTTTATCTGATTCACTACTCATTTTTCCTGTATCTCAGTACTTATACATAACCTTCACATAATGGAGTGAAATCCTAACAAGCCAAGAGTTCTGTATCTCTGTTTAATGGAGGTAAATAATGATGTAAAAATTCAAAGCACTGGGGAACAACTCTGCCAAAACAAGGCATGAGATGTTTTTAAAACACCACGTGTGTACAACAGGTTCTTGTTGCTCAAGTGTCCATAACCTGTCTGACCTGTCACTTCGTGTCACAGAAACTCCACTGATTCCAGTAGTGCTTGAAACTGAGCTCAACTACACTGAAAGGAAACTTCATTCTTGCATGGTTTTATTTCTTTACACTAGCACTAATAAAGTTTTAATTTAGTTTGACTTCCAATCAGAATCTTTGTGGCATGAAGTGCACTAGGAAATGCACAGAACTACAACAAAGGATTTGAAATAAGGTGGGGGGAAAAATCAGTCACTTTCCCTACCAACACATCTTCCATGAAAGAGTTCTCCAAAAACCAAAATTAGTTCTTAAGTCTCTCCTAGTTCTTAATTACAAGTTAACAAAGCCAAAAATCCTTTTCCATTACTATTAAAGTTGCACTTTTGGAATTTTGTAACTCTTAGACTGTAACATATGGCCTTTCTCCTTCATATTCAACTCAAAATAAGGATGTCTGCAAATGCTCAGTCTGGACCAGACAATGCATAGCTACCATCGGTGGCAGTGGCTCAGTAGAGTATACTGGAAATTTCCAGTGCAAAGTGGTTGGCAACGGATGCAGCCCCTACTCTACTCAAAACTGCATTCCTGAGGTCACTCTCAGCATTATTTAGATGCAGCACCTCCAACACTAGGATCAGACACTCAGCAACACGGCCAGTATTTTTTCCCATGGCTGTCACAGGCCTAAGTTGACAGTTCAAAATGAAGTTCTCAAATCAAAGGACCTTCAATAATTCAGGTTTCAAGATGTGATGACTACAGGTCAATTCTTACAGCTAAAGTAGCAAATGCAGTTAGTGAAGAAAAATTAATTGGGTGGTGTTGACACCAAGGAAAGCTCTCCAAAACACACTATTTAGGATCCTTGAGAAGATAAACTTTGATTTTTGAAATACAGAAAATCTGTAGCAAAAATATTTGTTAAAACTAACTTTGGGGGCTTTCAACAACTGCCATGAAGCTCCATCAATTGTTTCCTTTTTTCTTTTTAAAAGCCTTAATGATCTTTATAATACTTTACAATGTCTATCGATGTGTAGCACCCTCAAGAAAGATCCCAGATTCATGACACGTACAGATAAATCTGGCAATACTACAAATTCCTGTAGTTTTATTTTATTGTATCCCAGCTTCAGACAGAATTATTTCAATCTACTTTTTCAGCTATCCCAGCTACTGACAGGTAAGATCCCAGGTATTCCTATTATGCATCATATTTCAAAGGATAGGGTTGGTGCTTCTTAATCTATAAGCCAATGTAATCGATACAGACGCATGTGAACATGGAATGATGAATTAAAATTTAAAAGTAGTAAAATAAAAACAAACCAAAAGAGTAAACAGAAAGAGACAGAAAGGATTATATACATATATTAAAAAAGAAAAAGAAAAGAGGTCTTTGAAATAAATATGACAACACAGTATCAGCTGCAGCATTTTAAAGGCAGCTCTGGAACACAGGGAAAAAAGCTCCCAAAATGCCTTGTTTAACCCAGTAGGGGCCTTCAGTTGACCAGAGCTAAGTAGAGTAGCAGCTCTCAGTGAAAGGTATTTCCTACCTTTCCCTGAACGGCACAGGAAAAAAAATAAAAAAATCACTCTAAACAGAGTTAAGGAAAAGTGATGTCTTTGCACAATGCACATCATCTGAGTTCAAGCTAGAAGTGTGTTCCCCTTACGGTGTTTACTCAATAGATATCACAAACCCAATGTGTGGTTCTTACACTAGAGGCTGCAAGAGACGCTCAGTTCAGTACTCACGAGGTTTAAGTTAGTCCATATTGCTGCAGGAAGTGACCTGCGGAGGGGGAGCATGAGATGACACGATCTCACTCTTTTCACGGGAGAAATGTACAGTAAATGCCTAAAATAGACACAGGCTTTTCTGTATCATAACAACAAGCAGTGACCTCATCAGACACAAGTGTACAAATCGAATCCCAGCGGAAGGATTTGTCAATTAGTTATTGGGAAATCTAACTGTTTGCAGGTAAAAGTTTAGGAAAAAAAAGAATAATAATCAAAACAGGCCACAGATATTAAAATAGATGTGTAAAATGCACTGAGTACTGAAATTTCTGCTCATTTGCAGCAATTTAAGTTTACACCTCCAAATACTTACCTATACAGAAAATTTACAAGTGAAACCTCCTCCTTCCCCACTCCCTTGAAAATACTATTCACTAAAGCTAGCCTAGTCTTGGGACAGAAAAGATGCCTTATGAAATCCAACTTTCTAAGATCAGTGAACTAAATATGCATTTTATTCGGTATTAACTGTGTACACAGCACTACAAACTTACAAAGTAATGTACTGCTAAGTAATAAAGTGGTCCCAATTATTTTGAAATAAATAAATAGTAATAATAAAAAAATCTGCATTTGGGTTGGTTTGCCAGTAAAGTTCTAGAAAAAAAAACAGCAAAAGCATACAAGGCAAAGTAGTTTTGCAGCAGATTTGCAACCATGTTGTCTGATTGAGGCTGTGAATCATTAAAAAGCAAACAAGAAAGCCAAACAGGAATCAAGTATCTCATTCAGTTCTCTACAGCTTTTCTTCTGTGGTGAGAGAGGTTGAGTGCAATGAGAAGGCAGAGTTTATAGTGAATCTGAGAATTTAGCCTAACTTGGAAATGTCCAGAAATCAACTCTCTTCACATAAGCAAACAGTCTTGTACCAAGCTCAGATATATTCCCTGCCCTAGTTTGCAAAAAGAGAACCATGGCTATGCTGAGGAGTAAGCAAAAAGGATTGCTGAGTACATCTTCATGTCAACACAGATATTTTAGGCATGAAGGGGATGTGCTTATATGCTGGAAACTAGCACAGCAAGAAGACAGCATTCATTTCTGTCTGCATAAGGCATCAGTTATTAATATGTAGATACTTCACTCTCCTGAGAATAAAACAAACTTAGCAGAACCTTGAAAACCATTAATATGTATTTTGAGAATGAAGAATCAGACCTAAAAGCAACCAACAAAAAATAATATGCTTAAAATACTATACCTCAGCTTTTCATTCCCAAAACCACCAAGTGCATAAAACAATCCTTATTTAATAAGGACATCAGTCTAGCCTGAGACCTGTATTAGCACATTATACAAATAAACAGAATTTAAAGTTGACTGAAGTTCACTATTTGCAGAACTTTAATAAAACAATGTTACAATTATGTTGTTTAAAAACATATTTTTGCATCATTACTGTATTTTGCAACCTACAGGAAAAGCTTTGTTAAGTGCAAATCCGACTTCATGCTAATTAGGTATTAGACTTCATGAAACAGGAAGTCATATCCAAAAAAAACATCAACCCACCAAAAAAACCACCAACAAAACAACAACCCTCATTTAAGACTGAATTACTCAATTCCTTACTGAAACCAATGGCAGCTGAAAAAGAAAAACATCAATACTGATTATTTTTTTTGCTAATTCTGAAGTATTCATCCACCTTGTCAATTTTGAAATCTTAAGTTCCACAGCAAATATTGCAATGATCCTATGTATTAACTTGTCAACCAGGTAAGAGCTCACATTTGATCTTGTCCCTGTTATTTTGCCAATTATTTAAGGTGATTTGCATCACACAGCAATACAAACCTTGCAGGTAAAACTGTTAATAGCTGGTTTAAGTGCATTTTCTGAAATATATTAGAATTACAAAAACAAGGTTAGCACATTCCCAAGAAAGCACTGTTGATTTTAGCTGCAGAGTCCTCTTCATATATCAGAATAACACCAGAAGAGAGAATTGTAATGTTGTTTGTCAAAGAACCAGAGAATTTCTGTACTCTGCAGTGCCAAGATCTATGGTGTGAGCCTGCACTGAGCATTCTGTTTCACTGACTGTGGTTTAGAAATACAGCTGCAGAACCTGGGAAGTATGAGAAGGTTAACAGCCCCAAGAGCTGTTCAGTCTTAGGACTTGCACACAACAGTAAAAAAAAGGCAAACAGCAATTAAGGCTGAAATCCATTTCCCAGTCTATGCAGCTGCATGTACAAATACACAACACCAACCTTCTGGAAGGAAGCAGCTACAGAGCTCCATGACAAACCACAGCCTGAGGCTGCAAACACCCAGGGAAAGGCACTGCAGCACATCTCCACAAACGTGCTTTACAGAATGAGGGCACGAACTTCCAAAGACAAGGAACACTCAGAATCTTCATTTGTCTGCAGCACTGCACGAGACGCGCAAGTTGCCTTCAATTGAGGACAGACTTGTTTATACCCCCCACACTTCCCCCTGCACCCAAATTAAGGGCATGTTTTAGTGCCTTGACAAGGGCCTGAAGACTCTTCATCTTTCTTGATGCAATTCACTGATTAGGCTGAATCTTCATTAAACCCCCTTCCATCCCATTCCTCATGCTGCTCACCAAAAAACAAAACCACTCACTTCTAGATGATAAAAACCCAAAGACTGCATTGTCCTTGTCTGACTTGGGCAAAATAAAGGAGCTCTTCTTACACCTTAAAGCTTAAAAGCTGTCACAACATTTCATGTGCCAGAGATGAACATTAGTGTCATTTAGGTATAAAGCTAATGGCACTTACATTTTATACACTATATATCTCTATGAATCAGATTATTAGCAAGCATTAAATAGAAAACAAATCCTGTTCCTTATTCTGACATCACACCTTTATCAGTCCATTCCAGATTGCCAGTACTCACATTCTACAGACTGGTTGTAAATTTGATAGGACTTAGGAACTTCAACAATTAAATTGTCAGAATTCATCTGTAAAGTGCCCATGGCCTATAATAACACCTGAACATTTGTTTTTGTGCAGGAAAGGCAGATACAGATAACAGGCAACAACAGATAAAGTGTTGCCAACCTGTTTTGATTTTCTCAGCATGAGTCCATGACCATAACTCAGCTAAGTTGCCTTTAACTCCCCCTTGTGAATGATCCCAAAGCACAGAATATTCCAATCAAGCAACAAATATTTGTAGCTGCTAAAATACACCAAAGTTACACAGCAGATATAAAACAGGAATTATTTCTACAGAGATGAAAATACATGAGAACTATGAAAAATCTGCTTTTCTCTGACTTTTTAGTGGCAGAGTAAACTTCTCACAGACTGGTATATGAGCAAAAGAGGAGGGATTGTTACATATAATTTACACAACTGCAGGCACATTTCTGAAAGACAAAACCAAGTCAAATATACAAAGCTGTAGCAGAAAGTGGGGGTAAAAAAACTGATTAGGAAAAATTAAACAAGAAGTCAGAGCAAACACTGTTTGTAGTTTACAGAGCAACAAGTTACTGTTTTGAAAGGTTACATTTTTCATTTCACAAATTTACAACTGAAAAAGCAGGCATGAAGGCTTTCTAGAGAAGAGTGTTCACACACACACTTGTTTATCACTTAGTGCAGTTTCATGCATATATTCTCCAGAGAACCTGTTTAATGACAGACCAAAACAGATAACCACTAAAAAGACATCATTCAATTACTGAGCATGTTCTGTTTTGTTGGGGTTTTTTTTCCCATATTTATTGTCACCTCTCATTTGCAGATATGACTGTAGGATGAAGCAAAAAAAGTTACAGATCCTTACCTGCCACACCAGCTGAAATCATGTGTACCTGGGTAGAATCTGGATTGAAAATATTGTTCAACTTTTCCTTGCAATTTGAGTAAGCAGCAAAATATATTGCTCTAAAATTAGAACAAAATCCAAGTTACACTATGTTTTACATTTCAAAATTCACAATGAGCAGCACCATTGACTTAACTGACTGAATATTATCTTGGGTACAACTTCCTTCCCCAGTAAAGAACTCGTGAAGGATTAACTCCTGCAAAGTAGTGGGACTATTCTAAGAATGGAAATAAAGACTCTAAACATGACACTTGACTTCTTTTTTTTCCCCACACAACAGCTCCAATTGCCAATTAGTGAGGGGAAGGACAGATAGTTTGAAATATGGAGGTGATTTTTGTGACAATAGGAAGTTCAGCCAGGGAAGAAAAACACTGAGAATGTTCTGTTATTAATGTTGAACAATACTAAAACTAACTTTCTCTAATGAACCTAAACTCATTTCAACAGCAGGACAATTTGTAGAGAGCTACCAAGTATGTAGCTTCTTAAAAAAACCAAACAACTTTCTAATTACTATAGCATTTAACATTTAAATATTGATAACTTGATGTTATAAATATATATTTATATTTAAAATGCTAGAACAGCTGTGATTCACATTTTGTTTTCAGACTTCTGTATTTATAATAGATACTGATTTTTGTCTCTGAACACACCATGAAAAGTGTTGCAAACTTGTGCAACACAAGTCTGTGAGCTGGTATCCAAACAAAGCAACCCAATTCAATATATTACAAAAAATGGTTGTTTTCATTAATCAAAGCTAAAAAACTTATTTTATCCACATAGAAACCTCACATTTCAGGTTTTAACTCATCTGTTTTAAGTCTACAGACACCCCTGTGCAAGAGAAAAAAATGAACGTGCCACTTTTCTCAAGCAGAACATTAACCTCATTAGCTGGGCTAACATGTTTTTCTTTATTACAAAGAAGATAAAGTGCTTGCTTTATGGGTGTAATTTCTAAAATGGAACCTGAACTCAGTTAAGTACACTGGATGTGTTATGAAATATGCTTCTCTACAGCTTATTTAAACAAAGAGCTGATGTTAAATCCACTTAGCTAATGCTTAATTGAAATGAAGTACTGGTTGAAGACAGAAACAGCCAGAGGGAAATGAAGATGTGCTTATAAATAACGTTTACACACTACATCAAGCAGACATTTTAGCAAGCTAAGTATTTCACCTAGGGGAAGAACCAAAGGGAAACAGAAGATTTAGCATGAATTGAAAAGAAATATATATTTTTTCCCAACTGAACATGTTCTTCATGGACAATAGTCACTTATGCAATGGATCCCATTCCTGGGTAAAAATTGCTATTAAAGTGATAGCAATATTGAAGATTTGGTAGAACAGACTAATCTATTGTACAGAAGTACAGGCTTTCTAAACTAGGAAGTGCTGATATCCCACAGGTGTCAAGAACAAAAATGCTACTGGATTCACTTCAGCTTTTCCAAGGAGCAGTGCTAAATTAGTGATCAGAAAGCACCTCTGATATTCCTAAATCCTTTAAAAAATTGCTAAAATAAAGATAACCTAATTATTTCATCAAGTTTTTTTTCTTATTTATGCAGAGGAGCTAAAGAACATTACCTCATCAGAGCTAAAGTTCAGTTTAGCAGTTATTTTTCAGAAACATCCAAATACCTCAAACCAGTAAAGTTAAGATAATCTCCAGCTGAGTGTGCAGGAGATAGGAATGTTTTCTCTTCAAACAAAACAAACAAACAAAAGCAGGGCACTAAGTCAAGGAAAAAATAAAACCTTTGTGGAATATATTCCCTCTGCAGAAAGGCTCTTTTCTTAAACAGAGAAGAAAAAGAAAAAAAGAGCCAGGAAACATCTCCCAGTATCCTCATCTAGACCTAAGCAATATATTACTTTTACACAGTTTTGTTTTATACTCTGCCCATGTATTCTCCTATTTTTGGACTGAACTTCAGCTGACAGTTCTATGGAAGGACAAATTCAAACTCTGGCATACTGTGCTCTCTGCCTGCCAGCACCAGCTGAGGAACTGGAGTATTTGTGCTGATGCAGAGCAACAGACAACAGCAACAGCAGTGCCAAGTAGATCAGATTTACATCCTTGGCCCTGCACTGCCCCAGTACCCTTTGGAGCCCAGTCCACTGCTGGATCTGCTTTCCCTGGGACAGCTGGTCAGTCTCTCCTCCTACCCAGTGTCTCACCCTTTTAACAGCTTCAGAACAGGCCTCCTCCTGCAAGGGAGCACCAGGCTGTGCTTCAACAGACCTCAGGAGGGTAGACCCAGTGTTTTGAGGCTACAATCACATAATTGCTTCCTGAAGATGATGGATTAACTGAAAGCTAAGTCTATCTTTGTGTTTTCCAATATCCAAACTTGTAGTTTACATGTGCAATTCCTTAAGATTTTTAACTGGACATAAAGGGATAGCACACAACAGTAAATACTATTACAATAGCACATAGGATAGGAAATGGTGAGAGCTGGGGCTCTAGAGTACATAAATGGCTCAATTCCTCAGGCAAAAAGTTACTCCAGGAACCAAAGGTTACTTGGTGCTAATTAAGTATTTACAACTGCAGATGCAAAACTTATTTCAAATACACATTAAAGCCCTTAATGTATTTCATTTATTGTGCATGTTTGTATTTACCTGGAAGGAGCAACACCAACTAAATTAGGACCCAGCCCTCTGAACAGAGATCGAGGGCCTTCATTTTGCAAGATCATCCTAGAAAACAAGAAGACAATATTGTAACACTCAGAACAAAATTAAGGAATGCACTAACCACCAAAACTACATCATGTGAAAAACTTTCATAGTTACTGGCAATAATACAGTGCATACCACAAAGAAAATTAGTCATTTCCTAGAATCAGCATAAGAAATTACATTATTGCTCAAAATACCATGAAAACCATAAACTAAATGCAGAAATAAAGACTTGAGATCTCAATACAGATGTAACTAGTATGTAGGAACACATACATGTACAGAGCTGTCTGTTAGGAAGTCAAAGAAAGCGTCCTTGAATCAGGGAGAAAATACTAAGCATGGAAACATTCCCATTCACGTAGGCTGTAGATTGCTCAGGAGGCAAAAATACTTCATTCTACACTACATTCCTTTCACCACCCTTCAGCTCCCAATGTTTGTGAACTTTTTTGAGTGGGAGGGCCAGGGAGCAAAAGGCAGGAGAGGAAAGAAAGAGACTTTAGAAGTCTAGTTTCATTCAGTCATTGCTGTTTGAAAGCCACCCTGGAAGATGTTGCTCTACTGCCTATGACACCCAGCCAGGGACACCTTTGGCAATTTATTATTTTCTTCTCTCAAAGGGAGACCTCAATGTGGCTTTGCATGTGCTACCCCAGTGTGATTCCACAAGACTCAGACAGGACACTAAGTTTCATGGCAGAAGTCTGTATCTCTAAGGCTGCTTTCCTATTTGTCCTGCCTTTCTCATACCCATAAAATGCTGAAATCCTTTAAGGATTCAACTAGAAGCCCATTCTTAGCTTTATTCTTTAAGACATGGTTATTATTTTGACTATAGCAAAAGAAACTTGAAAACTTCAATGTGAGAAGTGACCCCTCCTAGAGGCTGGCAGGGATTCTCTATCAGTTCTGAGCTGCTGCCTGTGTGCTCCTAAGCAGGCACTGCTGCTGGGCTGTGGAGCCAGTGGTTTTCTGGCTTTTGATTCATTCCAGGGAACACAATCCTCACCTACCCATGCAAGGTAATTCACTGACAGTAAATGAGACAGGAGTGCAACCCACGCAGAGTCACAGCCACAGCAGAGTCCTCACATCTCCTGTACCATGTCTACTATAAACACAGCTCAGGAAAGATTGCTTGGGTGCCAGCAGGGTGTAACCTTGCACATTGGTGGAATCTACAGGAAAGCATGGTACAAACAGCACGTTGAGATGTCAAATAAGGCATTATTAGTTCTTTACTTCTGCATTATTGATCCCACATAGGTGGGGATTTTAGGAAGAGCTGAAGACCTATGCAGCAAGGTACCCTGGCACAGTAAGAGACTATGCTTGAATATTCAGTTCTAGTGAAATCAGTGTGCCCCACAATCTAGATGCTAATCACATTGGTATTTTAAAAAGTATGGTAGGACATGGGAGGAGAAACAAGGACTACCTGCATCCCATTACTGGAAATTGCTCTAGCAATTACTTTAGAACCAGATTTAAAGTTAAGAATTAACTACATTCTCAGATGCTACAAAACAGCACCCTGTGCTTACTGATTTAGAAACACTGGCCAATGCACACAAATAGTTCTGTACATTTCTTCTCCAAAGAACCATGCAGGTTAATGACAAGTCAATTACTCAATAAAGCCTTGTATAAATGGCCATTTTGTTTGGAATTTACTATCAGAACAAACAAGTGAAAGCAATCTATAGCTCTAAAAGAGATTCCAAGCCTATTCCGACTTCCTGATTTCAATGGTGCTGATTCACCATTGCTCTGCTGCTAAGTCAAACTAAAAGTTCACCTTTGCTTCCACTAAGCAAATATAAACCAGTGGTTCTGCAGTTACCACTGCTATTTAGAAATACTGACATTTAATGTGTCCACCAACACCCCAGCTTTTTGCCCATAACAATCAGCTATCATTTCACTATATGGACAGCCTTGCTCCAGAACAGTAATTGGAATACTGAACACTCAGACACCTTGGAAATACAAATTATTTGGATCTGTCTGTCATCATGAAAGCATTTTTATACCTTGCAATGCTGAACCCAATTAACATGATCTGTATCCACTTAAACCACTACTACCCCATCATGTGTTACACATGTATATATGCCCATACAGGTACACATGCATTCAAAGCAGCAGCAATCTCAGTGTCTTTGAAACTTAGGAATGAAGTGTACCAGGTCTGTTTGCTTCTTTTGGATCTACAGTCCCACAATCTGACAGGGCAGCAAAGAGTTGAAGAGAGGTTGCAACAGAGAGGATTATAATGGAGATAGCTACTGATGCTGTTTTGCATTCAGACACCAACTGGAGGAGTGCCAGAGGCTGCACTGAAAATAAGACACAAAATTCTTGCATTAAAGAGCAGATCCCAGGGCCTGCACTTGTTTATTGAAAACAGTTAAGGGCAAATCCATGGTTGGAAGAGTAGGAAAGTGCTCCATACAGCCCCAACTGACTTTCTTATGGTCAGTTGCCTGCACTGGGAGGCTGGTGAGATGTCCATTAGCAAGAGCTCAGGTTTAAATTGTGCAACATGGATGATGAGAAAATGTAATATGACATGCAACACAGATATTTGAGGGAAAAAAACCTGCTTTTGTTGCCAGAGAACAGGGTCACCTGTTTTTCTGAGTTTGTTTCCTGACAGAGATGCCTTTCAAGTCACCTCCACTGATGCTTAAGATGCAGAAGTGATTCTACAACAGTCATTTCACTGAAATTCTGACATAATTTGCCTGAATCACTCTGCTTTTAGACTGAGTAATGTGAGCCTTGAGCACTGCACTGAATTTGCTATGACATAAGCAAAGGCTGACAGCTATGAGCCAAAAAATATCTAATGACACTAAGGGCATGACAATGACAAAGGAATCCAGTTTTATTTCCCCACTAAACAGCCCAAGTACTTTAACCAAGAATAACTATGTCCTGCACGCATACATTTTTATTATCACAGTCCACTGCCATGTCATGTGGGATTTTTTCATATTTACTGTATATTTAAAGAACTTGAAACCCAGGCTTTGCATCTCAGCCCTTTGATAACGGCCGGAAAGAAAACACATCTAAGCAAAGAACAAAAGCAGCAGAAGAGACACATTCGTGTATTACAGATAAACAGCACGTGTAAGAGGCAATTGTTAAAGACAAACTAACAAAGCAAACAAGCCCGACCCATAAACTTCATCATGGGCTACCTCTACCTCAGTCTGAATCTGCTTCCTGGGAATACCAAGTTATTTTCAGTTTTAGGGATGCATTTAAAGCATAGCAGGCTTCTAGCAGAGAAGCATTACAAAAACACATCTACTCAACCTGCTATTCATTGATATACATTTCTAAATGGAAAATAAATTCATAACCAAGCAGTCAGAAAGAAGCTAAAGCACCCTACTTCCATCAAGAGAAGACACTAAGTCAAGAAGATCTCCTTGCTGGTCACAATCCAAGCCTTTCCTTCCCACATACCTGTGGGAAGACCCTGAAAAAAGAGCCATGAAAAGGTTCTGAACCCAAACTTCCATGATAAGAAGCTTGTACCCAAGGAGCTATTTGGGTACAAGCTCCATTTAAACAAATCCTATGCTCTAACCAGATTAAGTTTAAACCCTACACTTCAACTGCCAGAAAGGGCTTTCTACAAACTACTTCTTACTAATTAATTAAGAATAGAAGATAGAAGTTAAGACTCAACTAACTTTCTAATGCAAGAAGCAGCAGCAGGTCCCTCCTGTAGGGAATCTCCCCTCATCCCCAAATACTGAGGGTACCTCCCCTCCTCTGAACTGGCTAGCTGGAGTCCCCAGGGAAAAGTGAACCCTTCCTGTGGGCCATACAAGCTGTTTAACTGCACCCTTACAACTTTCCTGCTGGCTCCTGAACTACACAAACAAGGAGAGGTAAGGCAGCCCCCACTCAGTGAGGCACTACACAACACAGGTCACTGAAAAAGCCAGCCTTAGCTATTTCTTCCTAGCTCTAAAAGAATGTTACAAGTCACACATCCACCAGAAGATATTCCAAGGCAAAAAAACTGTGTGGGTGGTGAAAGCTGAAAGAGACTAAGAAACAGAGTTAATTTTAATTGCCTCCATATTCAGTAACTTCTATGATTTGGACACAAAACAGTGTTAGCGTAAGACTTTTTTAACTTTTTCAGGATGAAAATGGGACACAAACACTTAAATGTTAGTGAATTTTGGGGATACAGTTTGGAGCTGTGAATTGTACAAGGTCCACATGCTCTGGCTACTTCAACATACAAACTCAAGTATGAAGGACATTCAGAAAACTGGAAACACAGTCAAAAGCAAGGAGAGGTAAGGCAGCCCCCACTCAGTGAGGCACTACACAACACAGGTCACTGAAAAAGCCAGCCTTAGCTATTTCTTCCTAGCTCTAAAAGAATGTTACAAGTCACACATCCACCAGAAGATATTCCAAGGCAAAAAAACTGTGTGGGTGGTGAAAGCTGAAAGAGACTAAGAAACGGAGTTAATTTTAATTGCCTCCATATTCAGTAACTTCTATGATTTGGACACAAAACAATTAAAAAAGTCTTACACTAACACTTTTTCAGGATGAAAATGGGACACTTAAATACTTAAGTGTTAGTGAATTTTGGGGATGCAGTTTGGAGCTGTGAGGTGTACAAGATCCACATGCTCTGGATACTTCAACATACAAACTCAAGCATGAAGGACATTCAAAAAACTGGAAACACAGTTAAAACGCAAAATATGGAAAATCATCCCCTGGTAGCATCATGACAGATATAAATTCTGGATTTTTTATAATTTTTGAGATTTTGATCTCCTCCCTCCCCAAAATGCACCCAGTGTGCCAGGTACACTCACTTCAGACAGTGGAGAGGTCCAGGAGAAACTCTGGTTACTCGGTTGACAGTAGCACCATTCAGAGTGTTGAGATGAACTTCAGAGATGTAGAGAGTCACAGAAGAGGACTGCAGTCGTGTTTTTACAACTTCCAGTGGACATGTCAGAATTGCACCAACAGTACCTCCACATCTGCAAAGATAAACAGGATCATCACATTTTTAAGAGAAAAGGAAACTGAAAGATACATTCACATAGAATTGACATTACAGTCAACACAGTTCCACTACAAAAGGTGAAGAACCAGTAGAAACATTTGTGACAGTGACAGTTATTCACCCTTGAAGGCAAGCAAACTGCTAAGTCAGTCTGGAAACCCCACAACTTGAAGTGAAAATTGCAACAGACAAAACATAGTGAAGGGGCATAGTACACACTGTTCAAATCAGTTCTGGAAAGCAGCTCAGTAGCTTCAATGTTTAACTTCTTATGATAAATTTTACCTTTTTTTTAATGTTTAATGTGTGCCTGACCACAAAAAAGGTGCCAAAAATCCTTAAGGGCAGAAAATATCTATGCACTATGCACACAGGACTATGTGTAAAAACTGGTCAAGTCTGTGGTGTTGCAATTTAGTAACATCTTCAAAAGCCCGACTGGATTTTGGTCATTGTACCGTGAAAGCAGCAATTGTCAAGTGCTTCCCAAGCTCTGCCCACTTCAGCAAGGCAGACCAAGCACTGTAGAGGAGAAACTGCAAAGCCAGAAGAGCTCAGGTGGCTGACCAGGTGAAGACTTGCTGAGTTTTCTTCAGTTTGCTCTCATTCCTGAGAGCAAACCAAGGCAAGCCATGCACAACTTGTGCTGACAGCAGTTCCTGCCCTTCTGCTCAGCCACAGCGCAGCCAGAACACTCTGCCCTGCCCAGCTCACAGCCTTTCTCTGGGCTTCTTCAGAACTCAGATATTAATATCTACAGTCCTAGCTCTGCAACTACAGCCTTGGAGGGAAAAAATAGCAAATGCACAAATTCTGAGTTCCAAGACAGCCTCTTGAACCTTTTCAGAGATCAGTATTCTTAACATTGCTAAACATCCTTCTTAAAACTATGGCCAGGACACTACCTATCTCCTTTAAAAAAACAAACCATCCAACCCAAAGAAACAAACCTAGATTTCAGTTCAAGTATTAATGCTAACTACAACTCAGTCTGAAATTCACTAACACAAATACGATTTGTACTAAAGTCCAAGGGCCCATATTTGCTTCCCCTAATAAATATAATAACATATACATAACTAGAAGTGCTTGATTCTGACAAGATAGATATCAACTGTTTTTTTCTAACACAAGAAGCTCAAACACCCCCAAATAATAAGCTGTAAGCTTGTTCAAGTAATTTTAAAATGCTTTTCAAAATGGAAAGGAGAGTTCAGTCCAAATTAGGAGTAACAGCTAAGAAAAACATCCTATAAATTTTTGTAGGAGGGTAGTCTGATGAGTCTCTTCTACCACAGAGAATACCAAAAATACAGCACTGCATCCTACAAACCTAATCTGTAAGAAGTGAACTGAGAGTAGAGCTGCCAAGTAGAAGTCTGATGTTCACTTAACACCCCATTTAAACCCAGTGACCTAGAGGTATCCTATTACTAAGCCTAAAGGCATCCTGCCGGTCCCTAGTTCCAATATTAGGCTGAAGTCTTTTCTCTTTCAAGGTTTAATTGAGGTAAGATATCGAGTTTCTTTGCCAGTCTGGAAAAAAAGTGTTACCACAGGAAGATGAAATACAGTCTTTCAGTGCGTGCTGCACACATGCAGTTCCAGCCTGACACAGACATGAGAGCAGCCTGCTCTGAATGAGCAATTCACTTGCCTCTAACAGTAAGCTCCAAATAGACTTATTTTCATTTTAAGAGCTGCAGAAAGAGAGTAGATATGCTAGTATTTATTTTAGCCAGGGTTGGAAACAGTAAGAGCCTGTAACATGAAGGTTCAAAGCATAAACAGCATATGAGAAGCACACATTGGTCAGCTCCCAAAACAATTTGACCTGAAGCTACTGAAGCTCTAAAGCTCTGAGACGGACAGAAAGCTGTCTGTTTCCTGCAGTTCAAGGCAGACCCCACTCCATGTAACATGCCTGTGCAGGCAATAAAGGAAGTTGGCTTTAGAGTTTATTTTACTTCCTTTCCTGCAGCTCCTCCATTTCTGTTCTCCTCGAGCTTACTCTCTTGAAAACTTTTCTGCATTATTTTTGGACAGGTTACACAAGAACTTGTTTTCAAGCAACAGTAATCACAAGAGAAAGCACAAGGTATGATTTATGAGATAAATGCTACGGAAGTAGGGAAGAAACAAGGACAAAAAGAAATTGACCTGCATTCTTGAACAGGGCTGGGAGTTTGGAGCCCTTACCCCCTCTCACCCCCCAGCTACATCAGAGCAGAAACATTTTCAAACATTTTCTAAAGTTGAAGATTAACACTGACCTGGAGCTCATGCCCTGCACCACACCCAAATCACAAGGGATGCCTGACTGCAGCACTTCTACCAGACTTTCAGGGTGGATGGTCAGACACCCTTCACCCAGCAGGGGATTACCAGGGAAGGGGGCTGATACACAGCTGTAGCCACATTTCTCTCCACAGAGAAAAGCAAGGCACAACTTCCCAAGGACAATTTCTGGGATTCACATTCTCTGAACCTCAGAGAAAGAAAAAACAATTCTTATCTCCTTTACTGCTCCTGTGTTGCTCACAAGTGGAACACATTGTGGAAGATGGTTTACCTGAAGGGAATTGGTAATTGGATTCTGGTGTGAGTGTTTTGATTCACTGACCAATTGAATCCGTGTGTGTGTGTTGGGACTGTTGGCCGAGTCACAAGATTGTGTTCAGCTGAGTGTAGTTGAGTGTTTGGCAGGTTCAGTTTAGATGTAATATAATATAGATGTAATATAATAAAGTAATTAATTAGCCTTCTGATAAGATGGAGTCCTCCTCACCATTTCTCCCTGCCACGGGGGTCACTTTGAATCCTATTCACAGCTGCTCTGTGCTTGCTGTTTTGGCTGCAGCAGGCACTGGGCAGTGACAGCCAGCAGATACAACAGCAGCCAGCACCATGCTCACATCCATCCTAAAGCAGCAGCAGATTCACCTGCCTCCCTTTAAGGGCCTTTTCCAGCACCACATTCTGTCATTCAAGTAATTTCAAATAATCAGCACCCTTGGCAGTTTCTTGCTCTTGTGTTTCTTTGGTTAGGCTTTTCTTAAAGAATTTAAGATGTCTCCAGTGAACCCAAGAATATTTTCAATGTTTTCCACTAACTACTAATACTTTGAATTAAACTTCTCTGTCCCTGATCTTCAAGATCTCAAATTTCTTCTTACAGCTGAAGAAAGCGAATAAGTTTTACAGCTGTGTGGTTCTGTATTGTGAGTCTTGGCAAAATCCCCAATTTCTACTTCTGTCAAAGTAACACATCACTTTCCCAGCCCTCAAAAAGCTCCATATAACAGAGACAACATCTGAAACTGAAGCAGAGAAAGAAATGTTTTGATATGTTGAGGAACCAGAACTTTCTCAATGGTCACAAGATCCACTGAGTTTGAACTACAAAGGCATAATCCAGTAACTACCCTGACTTGTCTATTTCACTTGACCTTTAAGATAAACACCTCAAGGCTTGACAAAAATCTGTTTATGAAAAACTGTCAGTAAACAGAGCTCGTGGGTAAACAAAGAAGAGAAACAATTAAAAATATGCACTCTGTACAAATAAGCAACTTTTAAGAAGCATAGCAGCTGTTTTGTTACAGCATCAAGGACAGTGTACATTTTACTTAAGAAAAGTATTTCCAGCCTTGCTTATTTAAGACACTACTGGGAATACCAGCAGAGACAGCTAGATTTTTGTGCTCGAGTGCTGGCAGGTCATCAACAGCCAGCCACCAGGTCCACCCTACAACAAGTGCTCTGTAAATTGCCAAAGATTGCTGCCACCTTTCCTGCTCCCCTCCTCGCTGGTTCAAATTAAGGGGAATACTTTTAGTTTGTGGTTTCACACTAATTAGGAACTAGAACAGTTGAGAAAAACATTTTTTTAACAGTTTGAAAAACATGAGATTTCTTCTCAATAATACAGGTCGGATTTTGTAAATTACTTCAGAAATTTCTACTACCTAAAACCACCCTGGGCTTGAGTTTCTCCAGTCATGCATGCACCAGGCCTCAACGAGTGTGACTTGTAGGAACATTTACTAATGTGTAACTTTTTCTCCAGGATTAGATGAATTTCACCTGCTAGAGTAAGTAGGTGAACAAACACACTCCTGCTGACACAGTATAAATGGGAAGTGAGGAATAGCAAGACCTGAGACACTCCTACATCTGAATGCAAACTGCATTTTCCAGTGAATGCTACTCAGAAGGCCACTTGCTCATCTCACCTATCCTAAATGTGATATTTGCCTCTAATCAATGTTTACTACAAGTCTTCTTCAGCTTTACCACGTGAGTATTAAAATCTTGCAAAACTGACTTTCAGCAAATATACCTTGATCATAAAAGGGTATGAGAATCCACCTGTAGGCCCAAGTAATTTGAAAGGCAGAACAGAGATCAGTAGGTAAAATCACAAAAATAAATACATCAGTTAAAAAAGGAAGACTAAAATCCCACTATTAATACAGTCAAGCTAGAGAATTAAAACTTCAACTTGAGCCTTCTAGTACAATTTGAGAGAAGTCACATTCAGTGGAACAAGACATGTGGACATCACAAGATGTCATTATCATCTGCAGGATCACAACAAACCTGAAAGAAAAACAACAAAACTAAGAACAGTTGTCTACTTGACATCTCTTGGAGTGAAGAATCTAGGAAGATGGCAATGGTCTCCCAAACTAAGGAGAACATTTCTCCTCCAGAAAGCATATACTGAAAAGAAAAAAAAAATACTACAGAAGAAACCCCACAACACATTTAATTTGATCCCAACTCGAGATTTACAAGACCATCATCTCACTGGTTTAACAGAAACAAATATGAAACTATTGGGCTTTAAATTCTGCTAACTTTCAACAGGTACAGTTCTGACAACCATCTTCCTCAGACACATCTGCATTATTTGAGTGACACTCCAAGTAAAAAAAGACACACATGCTTCAAAAACCTAAACCTGTTTGGCACTCAAATCCCAGGTTCTCCTTCCAGGCATGGCTAGAAAAGAAAGTTTTATTATTGCAAGGTTAAGGTATCTGCTAAGGAGTCACTGCCCTTGTCCAGAGCAGCTAAGTGTCTTCTACTGGTACCTTTCAGCCCTGCAAGCACCAACAGAGAGAGCTCCAGCATGGATGAGGGTCTCAAATTCAGCCACTGGACTGTCTAGAAATGCTCTAAAGCAGACTGATATTCCAAATGCCAGTGTAGCCTGACTTCCAACTAACACTGTCAGTACACATTTTTTTACTTCCTTGAGATAATCATGTATTTCATGAAAATAAAAGCCATGGCTGCCTAGTGCTAGTTTCAGATTCACCTTTCACAATACGTTTGTAACCACAGCCTCAAAGACTTAAAGATAAGCCTTGACCCTATTATCTTCGATCTACATTAATTCATTTATTTTACCAGCTACTTATCTTTCCTGTAAAAAAATGAAAGTTCCATGCAAACACTGGCTGTCAAATGAAACAGCATGTAAACTGAGCTCAAAATTCTGTCAAAAAAAAGTATCCAAGCTACTTACAAGCAGAACAGAACTTTTTCTGTCTTCATCAGTTACTGCAAATTCAGGTCCCAAGTCTATCAGCAGTTTCATGCAGATGTCTTACAACCCGAGTAACTTTCATATCAACAAAGCTGCAGCTTTGGATATTACATTTATATTATCAGTCTTCAGAGAGTATAGAAGGGCTTCAGCAAGTACAGTTTTCAGAAACAGCATTCATTAATCCTGAACTTTCAGGGTTTTCCTACTGTTCAACTAGAGTACTAGCAGCCACAAACCCTTAATCACTCTACTCACCCCTTATGTTTCTTTACTAAAACTTAGAAAGTGCAAGTTAAGCTCACATCCATAAACTACAAATACTAATCAAGCTTGTGGTGTGTAATGAACAGTGTAAAAATAAAATCCCCCCATGTGCTGCCACATAGAAACTTACAAGTGAAAACAGGAAAAACACCACCAGGGGATCAAGCATCACTGGGTTCCATTATCCAAAACAAACATCAACATGCACAGTGTAGCTCTTAAGAGATGGGATAAATCAATATTTACAATAAAATTTGTGTTAAGTGAAAACAGCTCAAAGCATCGAGAAAGAAACATGAGAAAAATACCAGTGGCACAGTTTCTCAAGTACTGACAGCAATTTTCATGCAATTTAGTTACCCCATGGAGCAAACCCCAAGCTTTAAACAAGCACTGTCTTATTTCACACAAAAGTGTATCTGAATATAAAGATAACCTCAAGTTTGGGCAGAAAGGCACTAACCTCCTCACTTGCTCTGAAATACAGCCAGGGTTATGCCACCAGTGTGTTTTGGGGCAGAGAGGAGCTGAGTGCTTGGCAACTCAGTTATGGCTCAAGGGGCTCTTTCCTGAAACGGTGTAAAAAAGCCCCCATCATCCCAATACCTGCTACACCTTATTAACAACCTGCTGAAATCAGAAAAGCCCAAGGGTCTCTTACCTTTCCTTCAGCAGAGTCTGATCTTGCTGAGAATTCAAACATTTATGGTAAATACATCTTCTGCACCTTAACCATTTTGGCCACTGTAGGGATTTGCTAAGAACCTCTGTCAGGCAGAGGATGATTACAATTACAGACCACTTTGAGACACTTCTAAAATCAAGATAAAGAAGCTCCTCCCTATTCTTCCTCACACATTAAATTAGAAAACAGCCAAAATTCTGCAGAAAGCACCAAGAGTGAAGTAAAGAAGCAAACCCGAGACTATCCAAGAGTGAAGTCAGAAAAGCAGCTGTCCACCTCCTAACCCAAACCCCTCCTTTTGCTGAGGAAACAACACTCACACAAGTTCACTGCTCTGATGGAAGCTTCTATAATACACAATTACTGTCATAAGCTTTCTGGAAATTAAGAATAATTCAGGAAAAGAATAAATCAGGAAAACCTGAGCACTATTTTTGTAGCTAACACATGAATTTTCACTGTATGGTTGCAATTCAAAACATATTAATCTTTTCTATAAAGCAAAACATTAAGACTAGTTTTAAAAAGTAGTAGGAAACCTAACAACTAAAAAAACAGCCATAACTTACTACTTGAACTAAAAATGTTCATCTACATCCTACATTTCAATCACACGATTTTTTAATTTAAGAATGAAGAATGTTCAACTGCATCCTTGAATAAGTAGCACCTGGGTTTATACTACCAACATAATGTCTACAGTAACAGCAACTGCTGTTTGACTAAGTGGGACTAAAAGAGAAGATACACAAAAAGCCCATACAGCCTAGGCAGCTACAGAGAAATCCCAGGATAGTCCCACTGATGCTACTAAACCAGCAACGTCATCTGTCAAAGTTTCATTACAGAAAGCAGGAACTGAAGAATGAACTTGAACATCTGGGGGAAAAAGAAAAAAAAAAAGCACCAGCAGATAGAGATAATCATGCTGTTTCCACAGAGGCTCTGGTGCAACCTAAAGGCAAACAAAGCTACAAAGCTTCCTTCCTCTAAGTTTCACTGAAGACTAAAGATCACTCAGGTGATCTGCAGTGCACCATGCTTGCAAAGTCATGAGATGACCCCAAAAAACTCTTCTACTGCCAAATGTGACCAAATACACAGTGTTAGCTTGGCTGAACTAAGGTTACAGGAAACATGTGGCTCACACTCAGCCTTTTCCCCAAACCATAACCCCTGACCCAGCTGGCCAGCACTACCCATCGACCAGACTGCTCTGCAATAAATTGGAATGAGCAAACTGAACTGAGCAATCCTCATCTGCTCTCGAGTTTCAGGTTCACAAACCTGTTTCTGACATAATGCACAGTTCTGCTCAGTAATCTCCCCTGTGCAGAGCTGTCAAGCTGAAGGGCTACAGTCAGGCACCACTCACAGAATCCTTAGGGCTGGCAGGGACCTCTGCAGGTCATACTGTCTGATATCCCTGCTGAGGCAGGGTCACCTGGAGCAGGTAACACAGGAATGTGTCCAGGTGGGTTTGGAATGTCTCCAGAGAAGGAAAGACCACAACCTCCCTGGGCAGCCTGTGCCAGTGTTCTGCCACCCTCAATATAAAGAAGTTCTTCCTCATGTTGAGGTGAAACTTCCTGTGTTTTAGTTTATGGTCTTTGCTCATCGTGTTGTTGCTGGGCACCACTGAGAAGTCTGCCACCTCTTTGAGATATTCATATGCATTAATGAGATCCCCTCTCAGACTCGACCAGAAAACGGGCCCAGCTCCCCCAGTCTGTTCTCATAACATAGATGCTCCAGATCTCTCACCATATTTGTAGCCCTCTGCAGCAGTTCCTGGTCTTTCTCCAGCTCCTGCTATTGCTTTTCTGAATGCTTACAAGGATGCAAAGTCTGCAGAAAACAGTACATACTACTACATCTTGGCCCTCCTGCTGCACAACTGCTCTCCTCTTAAACAGGGTGCAAGAAATTAAGGGGATGTAAAAGCCCCCACACAGGCACTAGTTCAGGTGCACAAGACTTCAAAGTGTGCCAGAAGCAGAGAAAGTTCTGACATGTGTCCAAGTCACTCAGACTTGCTCAGAATCAATCACTATTCTTCCACCTCAAACACCTCAGTCCAGAAGCAGCAAGCTCACTTTTGTCTGCGAGGAGCACAAAGGGAAATCACAGCTTCAAGCTCTCTCATGGGATGCAAGGTGTGCCCTCTATCACTTCTGAACAGTCATGCTCACTACCCAAACACACTATTACAATCGAGGACCCCCAGCTTTCCCTTTTAGGCTGCGCCCTTCCCACCCTGCCCCTGGAAGGACCACAGGCTTCAGGGATACAGCCCATACATTTTGAATCCTAAAAACATACATTTTAAAACTTCTCTAATAGCTGTGACGATACAAAAGTTACCTCAAACCTAACCAAGGCTACATCTTCATTTCTGAGTGCGTTCTTCCCTCCCATTTCCTCTGCCTTTGTCACTGGAGAGCTGCGTGTGCCACAGCCCCGCAGGGGAGCGCAGCACACCCGGGAGCGTTGGAAGGCGAGCCGGGGATGCAGCGGCCGCCGGGCGGAGCGTGCCCAGCGGGGCACAGCCGGCCCGCGAGGCACAGCGAGCCCGGCGGCCGCTCCCTGCGGCGGGGAGCCCGTGCACGGCGGGCCCCGCGTGCTTCTGCACGAAAAGCCCAGAGAAGGGACAACTGCGATCGGAGAGAGGGGCTGGCTTTACGGGAAGCCTCCACCCCGCCTCCCCAGGGCCCGCGTTCCACCCATGACACAACGCAGCACCCGGGGCCGGGCCCGGCCGCGCGCAGCGGCCCGGAAAGGCCTCGGGGCACGGGGCGGGCGGCAGAGCGCGGCCCGCTCCCTCCTGCCCGCGGCCCCCGGGCACAGAGGAGCGGGGCAGCCCCCGCAGCCCTTCCCAGATGTCCCCACGCAGCCGTTCCAGGCCGCCGCCCCCCCCCGGCCAGCCAGCGGCGGGCACAGGAGCGCGGCCAGACGCTCAGGGAGGAGAAGGGGAAAGCGCAGGAGAGCACCCGGGGCTTCACCTACCCGCCAGCGAAGAGATGGACCAGCGTGTCTCTTTGGCTCATCCTCGTCGCCTGCACCCGGGCGGGAGGAAGGAGGTGCCGGGCGCTTCCGCCCCACACTCACGGCGCCGCTCCTGGCAGGGCTCAGCATAAATACGGGCGGGCCGGCTCCGCCTCCCGCCGCCGGCGCGGCTCCGCAGGCACACGGGACGTGAGGGAAGCGGGGCCGGGCCCGCCCCTCGCCGCGGCCGCTGCAGCGCCGAAAGTGCGTGGCTATGAATATGCATACATGAATATGCATGAACCCCGCAAACAGAGGCTGCTATTGGCTGCGACAGCGTGACGTCAGCGCAGGCACGGGGCCGCCTCGTGAATATGCAACGAACCGCCTCGCCCCCGATTAAACAGAGGCCGCCGTTGGCTGCGGCGTCTGACGTCACGCGCGCGGTGCCTCGTGAGGCGGAGCGAGGGGCTGAGGGGCAGCTGCGTGAGGCGGCGGCGGCGCTGCGTGTGGGGAGCGCTTGGGGCGGCACCGTCCCGGCAATTCCCGAATTGCCTGGACACAGCGCTGTTCCCTGTGCTCTGGGACGACCCTGCCTGAGCAGGGATGTGGGACCAGGTGCCCCCCTGTGCTCCCGTGCAGCCTGACCCCTTCTGTTATACCCGCTGGGGCTGGGAAGGTGACAGCCGGCAAGTGCAGAAAATGTGGGGAAAGGGCATGAAAAACAGCCCCAGTGCCCTCAACACCCCAGAACAGCAACATCAGTAAGGTGTATGGTGGCCTTAGTTTTTTGTTTCCTCTTATTCGTTAATTCTGGGTCATCCCCTCAGCTACTGAAGCAATCCCATCTCCCCAAAGAGGCACCCAAACACTGCTCCTGGGGTGTTTCTGAAGGGAATATCCTGGATCACAGAGTGGCTTTCATCTTGGCTTTCCTCAAAACATTATGGATAAGTCATGCCTGTACAACTTAGATCAAAGTTACAAGGTGCTTATATAGCTTGAGTTATAAGATACTAATATAGCCTAAATAATGGTTTTATATATCTACATAACCTGATATAGCTATATAAACTGATACCGATATAATCTACATCACAAATTTTTATATATCTATATAACCTCATATAGATATATAACCTGATACCAATATAATCTAAATCACAAATATATATATATATATATATATATATATAAACCGGATACTTATATAACCTGAATCAAACCCCTTGATACAATGTAATGGCTCCTATATGGTGAGCTAGTTGCATAATGCTGAATAGACAAAAAAAGATGAAACTCGCCAGGTGGATAGCTTTAGAGATAGAGAAATATAGTACTAATGAAAAATTGACAAGTGCAAAGCCAGTTAGCCACAAAATAAAGATTTTAGGCTGGTTAAGACCAGACAGACCAAAGAACACCATAACTGTGTGTGCTCAAAGTTGAAACATTCTGAGTGGAAAGAAGACCCTGGAAACCTTTATCAAAGACCCCCAACAACCCCCAAACTGGGAAGACACCACCACAGTGCAAAAGAACTGCCGAACAACCATGAGATCATACAATGTAAATTAGTTCTGGTGCATATGTGATGATGTTATAGTGGAATAGGACTCCCTAAAGAGATACAGAGGGGTTAAAGTCTCCAAAAAAGGAGGCTGGAATTCCCAAAAGAAATAGAAAGGCGTTAGAGTCCCTGAAAGAAGTCTGATGACTTTTCCTATTGGTTTTGGTCTTGGAATTTTGAGTTTGATTGTTGTATGTATTGCTTTGTGTATTTAGTACAAAATTAGTGTTTCTTTTCTGTCTGTGTGCTAACAACTGTTACTGCCTCCTGTGTGTCTGCCAAAAGTTTTCGTTGTCTATGTTGACAGCCTTTAGAGCTGTTACTGTTTGAGTGTTTGCCAGAAATTTTTACAGTTTGTTTTGCTGACAGTTTTAATCCACGTCCCACCTTGCTCCAACACCCTGTTTCATTCCTCCCATTTATAGGACCCCAATTCCTTGTTTAAGGTGTGGAATACCATGTTGGTTCAGTGTCCTGTGGTTGTGGGACTCTTGGGGGCATATTGAGTGTTTTAATTGTAAAAGAAAATATGAAAGTCTGCCACACCTCCAATATCCACTGTGTTGTGCATGGGGGGCTGAGAGCTGACGAAAGTAAGATTTGTGTTCTTGCTGTAAAGTGTAATCCCATACAATTGAGGTTACATTGAAGTGAGTAATTCCAACAGTAAGGAAATAGTCAGAGCCCTTTAGAGTGTGTTTTGGCCCATTGGAGGGAGCTAGGAGCCATTTCAGGAAGTAACCTAAATAAAAGTGATTTATTAAAATATTACAACCAGTGGCAACCCCTTTATCAATTGGACAGGGGGAAAAATAGCCTGTGAATGGTACTGTAAATAAAAATACAGCGTTACTGACTTGTTCATTTTCTTAGTCTTCATTTTCATTTAGTCTTTCTAATACTTAAAGAGCTTCTAGAAGAGTGAGTGAATGTGGACTATTCACAAAACTGTGACCACTAACTTCATGTTCTCCTCTTTATATGCTTTTTATTTCTAGGAACTCAACACTACAATCTGAGAAATTGTCAGAGACTATGCCATATTTTCATTAAATTTCACAAGGTAATGTTTTGTGTACTTGCACTTGGTGTGGCTTTTCCTGAGGATGTGTGACATTCTCCTGTGTTTCTTTCTGATGGAATAAGATGGAGTAATAATGCACTGCACAGGGAGCAGGGTGGGAGCTGAGAAGGAATATTCCCCCTGGAAGGCACAGTTTTCCAGGGCTTAACATCTATTCTGTCTCAGGGCCAGAATTAGTACTGACACAAATTGTCTGTGCCTGAAGAACTATCACAGGTTGTAAATTCCAGGGGATGGAATGTTGGGAATACATCAAAAACTGGAATGGGTAAAGGTAGGGGCAGCTCAGATGAGGCGTCGTTACACAAAGCAAGGTAAAGCCCAAGGGCTTGGCAGCAGCAAAATGTGAGTGGGCTGTTACTCCAAGAGGGAAAACAGTGAGCTGCTCTCACGAGGAGCTCAGGCTAACATTAGACTTTAAATTACAACTTCTGTGCTTTGGAAAAGGAGTAGTGGGTGATTGAGGTTTCCTTTTTTTATATTATTTTCTGTTCCGTGGAAGGCATTTTAAAAGCAATTTGATTCAGCATTTGTAAGTGGATAAAGTACAGCTTGTTAAACAGCCAGCAGTAATCTCCTGATATGTCTGGCTTAGAAAATGAGGCTTGAGCTCGTGCTTATTGATGACACTGAGAAATCAAGCTGCTTCATTATTGCTAATGAAGGTGGGAAGGTTAAATTTAGATCTAGAGTAAGCCTCTGGGAAGAAACTGGAAGGGTTTCTTTAGTACATGTTCTATGACATCTATACGAGATTTTTTTGTGAGGGGGGAGTGGATTTTGGGGTTTTTATTCCCCTTTAAATACAATTTTGCTGATATTTTATCTAGTTTGTTTCCATAAATTGTTCAAAACAGGGGAAATGGTGGTTTGGTCCTCACATAGTGTTCTTTTTCCCTCTGCTAGTATGTTCACAGAGTTTTTCAATGAAGGGAAAAGAATTTTAGACATGTGAATTCCAAAATCTTAAGATTGTCCTATAAATAACTTGCCTTCTGACTTGTGTGACTCAGACTCCTGTGATAAATAGCACCAGCATGAATGGTGAATTTGGGATTTTTGTTGTCATGAGTTGAACATATTTTAGGTTGCGAATCTGGAATCATAGCAAGATATTACAAGGAATATTTTAGCTCATAAAGTGTACTGATTCCGATAGTGAACAAAATGAGTGTGTTTGCACTGCTCCTTTGAAATGGTAGAAGTGAATTTGTGCAATGGTTTAAAGTACAAGACATCTATCTGCTCTATCCTAGCAAAAGCTGACCACTCTGAGAGATTTAAAAAAGGCCTTGATTTCATCAATACATTTCTACTAATCTGTTTACTATTATATTTTTAACTCCATTTCATAAATAAGGAAGCAAAATGAGACAAGACAGATGTTTAATCAAAACCCCTGGACAGATGAGTGACAGATTTAGAAATAACCTTTTGACCAAGAAAGGCAGCAGGGAGGGTGTGATAAACAATTTTGTGTAGGCCTTCTTTTGCTTGAGAATGGAGCTGCCTCTGTTCCTTGAGGACATAAAAACCTTTGTAATACACATTTGTAAACACATGTTTGTAAGTCTATTGCTCAGTTGTTTGTTTATCTAAAATCTGTACCTTACGTAATATTCAGAAAATAAAGGAGGACAGGAAAAAAGGATAATAAGTAGGAAAAGAAGAAAAGAGGAGCAGCTGATCTGTAAAAAAGGGACAGGGATATCAGTACCATGTAAATGAGGACTGGGAGAGTGGAATGTGGGTTTTACAGTCAGGAACATGCAGGTACTTACTAGAGAGTAAAGGAAATAATTCCTCATAGTTGGCCCTCATGACAGCCGTGGTCAGCACTTTGCATGACAGGCTGTCAATTTTTACAGCTGATTTATTCAGAGAATCAAGTGTACAGGAAAGTGATTGAGATTATCTGCCAAATGGATGCCTTATCATATCAAGGAACACTTAAAAGATTTGTTTTATTTAGACTGGGTAAATAAAGGCTAAGAAAGACATGATTTCTGCTGAAAAAAATCTGTCAGAGCAATAAACTACAGAAACCAAAGCAGTAAAATACTACATAAGCTAAAGGTCAATATTAGCAGAGTCACCAGGAGTCATGAATAAATTCAGGTAGAGAAGAAAAAGTGAGAGTCTGTGATGTAGTTTTCTACAGCATCTGGAGGGTGGAATGAAAGTTTTCTAGTGTTGTATGAATGAGACCCACCCTATGCCCAGCTGGGTCTCAAACTGTGGCAGGATGGGTGGGTTACCTTGTCAAGGCATCTCTCTTGTGAAAGGTGTGAATCCAAGGTGCAGTTCTGTTTTAGCCCATCACCACAGCAAGGGCTTCTGTCCGTAGCTTATTTTGAGAGAGCTGTGTAAACAATATCCCATAGCTCAAGAGATAAATTTCCTGATATGAAAAACTTCAAATATTTGAGAAATTTACTCACTTCTAAATGAAACAAAACTTCTACTTTTTTTTTTTTTTTAAATCAAAAGGCGGAAGGAAGTGTGACTCATTCAGAAAAGGTGAATGTGTGACTGCATAGATTTTACAAATATGGAGTGAGCAATCCAGGGAGCTTAGCAGTA